TTCTCATTCTTCAGCTCTACTGCTGCTTGTTTGCTCTGCTCCTTTTCAATTTTTTCCAGGTTTTCCAGTAAAGAATCCACTTTTTGTTTGATCTGGGTCAATTCCTTCTTAACGGCCTGAAGGTCATCTCCTTTCAATTTTCCAGACTTGGAAGAACCTCGCTGTCCACTCTTAGAATTGAAGCTACTTTTCCTCCTTCGTGAGGTGTTCCTTGAGACACGCTGGCGTTTTGAGGGCACCACAGCCCGAGCAATAGGAGGAGCAGGAGGAACATGTGCTGGGTAACTGTACATCCTGTCATAATAATCCCGTTGACAGTCATAATCCAAGTCAAAAGAGGAGCTGTACATCTCCACTGCAGATCGTTTCACACCTGCTTTTCCTCGATTCATTTTTGGCTCTGCAACCAGATTAATATCTAAAACTTGGCCAGCAATCATTCTGCCATCCTCTCCTGCTACAGCAGCCCGGGCATTTCTCTCATTAACATACTGCACAAAGGCAAAACCCTTGTGAACAGAGCAACCCACAATTTTGCCATATTTCGAGAAAATTGCTTCCACATCAGACTTCGTCACCACAGGAGTGTTGAGATTCCCAATGAACACACGGGAGTTCATGGAGTGAGGGTCTCTCCTGTTGGTAACATTGCTAGCCATTGCGTTTGATGATAAGGTTCTTCACAAAGAGAAAAAAATGTAGCTGAAGATCAAAAAAATCTCACAGGAGGGGGGAGGGAGAAAAGATTCAATTCTGAGTCTCCTACTCCTGGGTTCAACGTGGAGAAGATGAGTACTGCTCGAGGTCGACAATGTGGCTACAACCACTCTGTCCTGAAATTGTGTTTTAAATAAAGGTGACCATCTGCTTGCTCAGGAAAAATGGCAAACTTCTTTATCTGCGGTTGGTTTATATAGGGAATTTTGTACATGCGCACAATACAGCAATGACCTCATTGATCCATTTAAACATGTGACTACCTCATGATTAGCTTCCGATAATCCACTCAACATACACCCTTTGACATAACCCTATCAACATAACCCATTTAACATAACTTAATGGAGAACATGTTGTTAGCCATTTCTTCTTTGTTCTTATCTGATTTTACCTGAGACTATGGAGGAAGAAGGTAAATCGAATACCTGCCCTTGCTGGCCTTGCCATTTGGAGGCTGTTACTTCCATCTTTAAACAGGGCATAAAGAAACTTCTTGGGCATAAAGGAATTTGTGTGCAAACCTCTGCTCCCATATCAGCTTTAAGTCAGGGAATTTTTGTGGGAACATTTTATAAGGAATTTTTAGGCTGGACTTCTCAAAAGCTTTTCACAACCTCAAGTTTTATCTGTGCCATTAGATACCTGTATGCATTGGGTAAATTCCTCTTCTCTTGAGGTCCCCGAGCACATTTCCATTCCTGGATCTGTCAGCAAGCAACCTTCGTCACTTACCACAGATCAGGAAAGGTTACTCCATTCCCAGACCTGTCAGCAAGCGACCTTCGTCACTTACCACAGATCAGGAAAGGTTACTGATAGGTATCTGGCCAGTTTTCCAAAGGGCTTTTTTATTGG